ATTTTTTGTCGATATCGTCATTAATGCTGGAACCATCGATCAATCTTTAAAAAAGAATGTATGTAGATACGTAGATTATACGTAAGCGATTACAATTAAAACGATATATCTAATGATACGATAACTCTAGTTTGTCTCGATGATTGCCGATAGCGATTTTATTCAATTTATCGATTCGTTTGTATATTTTTATTAGTTTATTTTGCAAAAAAAATGTCAACCCATAGAACGATTCTTGCTTCTTTATTAATATTACCGAGCTATAGTTCCATTTTTAGGCTCGTAATTATTTCGCAGAGAATTTCCAAGTTACTGGACGTGCGATCCGAAAAGTATCTCGTAATTCGAGATTATCGAGATTCTCGAGACTTTTGGAATTTTTTAAAAATTACATAGACCGGAATACGGAGCAAAGGTATTTCAGATATAATATTTCCTAATAAAATATTATATCTATCGCGTATTTCGCTATTACTTTGCTCCATATTCCGGCCTAAATAATTGTGTAAGTCTCGAGAATCCCGAAATTCTCGGGAGTCCCGACACTTTCGAATTACGAGATACTTTTGGGAATCCGACCCGACCCCGAGAGAAACTAAATCTCGAGAGATATTTTCACATTCTCGCACAAACCCACATATTAATTATACTTGTCACTGTTAATTATGCCATTAAAAAACAAGGCGAAACAACGACAAGGAATAAAATACACTCGACGGAAATAGACCTAGCCCTTTTCAAAAATTAAAATCTCCAAACTAAATTTACTTGCTTTTAGGTTATCGTGGGTTGGTAGATTTCTTCGTAACTTCACTCAACTCTTGTTACAGTTACTTATCATCCATTTTTATGTTACTATTTATTTAGTACTTGATCCTCGTTGTTTGGCATTTATTTTTATCGTACTATTTACTTGACATTTCATTTCCATCATATCGTTTCTCTTTAAATGTAACGTAATGTAGGGAATGTTAAAAATTGAAAGTTGATTATTCAAAAATTGTTTTCAGTATACGAGCATAGGTATATTTTACGATGACACGAGCTCTAGTATCGTTAAAATGTCGGAGGATTGGTCCAGAAGGCCTTTGTATCATCGCAGTGCTGACGTAAATCGGTTAAAATGGATATCAGTGGGAACAGTTGGCGATTTATGAAGTTGTTATTGGTGCTTTCGATGCACCTGGACTCTTTTACCATAAAGAAGAACAAATTCACAAAATTGCCAATGTCGACAGTCGGTGACAGCGTATTTAGAGATTTAATATTCCTCCTTTGTTCTTTAAAAATTGCCCCGACGCTCGTACCGAATGAATAACAAACAAAGTAATTTCTGGAATTCTCCTTTTCTGGCGATATTTCACGAAAATAGTGGTAACTGGCTGGCGTTTTTAAGATTCAAGGCAAATTTTCGACATTGATCCTTTTCTCCATGCAAAGGAATTCTCTTTCTTCGAGTTTTGAACGATTTCGATCCTTGTAATTTGTATCCTTCGCGAGTATTTGACATTAACCGAGTCGATGGATCGAGCTCTTAATACTTACACCCTTACGCCCACAACTATCTGGACACTGATGTATTTGCCAACTTTACATAATTACCTCGCGTCACTTTCTTTTATGGAGTTACTACGTCGTTTTACGATCTCGATGTTATCTTTGGAAAGTATTAAGCAATATTTATTAACAAATAACATTGATCAAGTTGTCACAAAGATGAATCGGTACGTCTGCGTTGCTCTTTTTTAACGTTTATCGATCTTAGATGATTCATATCCCTTCAAAGGACAGAGATACCAAACTTTATGGGAAGCGTGAAAGAAGCGTGTACGTCTTCTCACACCTATCGTTTATAATAATTTTATGATAATTTTGTAATAATTTGATCATAGGACAACGTAGTAGATCCATAAAAGAAACTGAAGCAAAGCAATTCTACAGCGTCCGGATACTTATGGATGGGAGATTAAACCGCTTACAAGCGAGCAGATCTTAACGATTCAAAATTTAATAAAGACATTTCGACATTAGTAGCCTACTAATTTGGGAACTTCAAGGTAATAGCTTTTCCCATTCAAAGTTCAATGCTCCATCGAGTTCGGCACTTCAAAATTTAATGGGTCGTGAAATGTAGGGGAGACCCAACGAAAACTGGATATATGGGTGAAACCAGGAGCTGCTATTATTTCTAAAACGATTTGAAATTTTCCGCGTCAATACAGTCGGTTTTGCTTGTCATTTGGCTTGATGTCTAAATAAAATACAAGCGCGTTACACGTGTGCCTTCTAACGTTACGATACTTTCCGTATTTGCCGGTTCTCCGATATAATTTCCAACGAATTTTAAGCTTCGCAATCATTGAAATCGTTCAGGCAACTACCTTTCGCTATGAATTATACTATTTGTCGTGTATTAAAATATGAACATGTAAATGGCGTTTTTTCAATTTGCCATGGTGCTACCGATAACTCGTAATATTTATCAAATTGTATATCGGGATGGAACCTGGCATATACGCGAGTTATGTTCATGCTACGAACGCATCAACATTCTTACGTTAACGTTAAGATTATTTCAAGATCTAACAAAGCGTTTTAGTATCATAAGTGTCTTAAATCGTTTGAGAAATTCTCAACTTACGAAATTTCATCGATCGAATCTTCGAAATTCACTTACGAATCCATTCCATTCGTCATTTCCTTTTCCTTTTGAAGTTTCGAGTGAAACTAAACTGACGATCAATGGGAGATATTTCAGTTCCTAAATGAATAACGATTCCTGCGACTGATCGTGATTGATACTTTCAACCCTCTCAATTGAATCGAGCATCGTTCCTCCACGATCGATCTAATCCTTGATCGAAAGAACATCCTAATATATCAAAACGTTTACCAGAGTATCTTTTCGTTAATGAGGTTTTTCGGATTTCTAATCTCACGAACGTCTCACGGTAGAAATTCTCATTTCTATATTTTTTCGAAACGTAACGAAAACTCTGTGGGTGACGGTTCGAATAACAAGGAATATTAGGTTGTTTAGCGAAGATCGAACACGGTTCCGCTATTTTTCTTATAATGTAATGTTTCTTGTAATGTGGAAAACTGTTGATTATAAGATACGAATTTTATTATCGTTATAAAGAGACAAAGGATGTTTCCGACGTTTCGAACGTTTTCATTCGATAAAATTTTATTTTTAAACGAGATACGCTTCGTTCGTGTTATTTCTTTTCCGCCTCACGAAATATCTCTCGTATTATTTGGTTTTACCCTTATGCTCCGAATTACGATATTTTTCGATACATTACGCCGTTTATATTCGATTAAGTGCATACCAATCATTACGAGTTAAAGTGTTTATAATTACCGCAAATTGCTGCAATTTAGATCGTAGATCGTAGAGCAAGATATATATTAACAAATTATTTCTTGGAATCATGTATTTTCATACCCGCACGTGAAGGTGTCATTTTGTTCTAAAAATAAATTCCAATTAAAACAAGAATCAGCTACAAGTAAAATGGAAGACATCGAAGTTAAAAATCACTTAACATTGACTTTTTACATTTAACGTTGAATTTATCCAAATATTAAAGGTAGATATTATTTCACGCTGAATTATGGAATTTGGAAGCTGGCGACGACGAAGGAATTATTGAATTTGAAAACTGAAAATAACGGAGAATGACATTTTTAAGAAAAATGATAATTTCATTATCGACAGAGGTTCCATTTCTTTATTTATTTATCCCTTTTATAGGTCTGAAACTCCCGTTCCTGAAAAAGCGCTGATTCGAGTTAAGTGCTACTACCTTTCGATCTAAATCAGACAACCCTTCAGCAAAAGATGTTTCCTTCCCTTTTTCCTGGTTGCACGATCGTTTCCTTGGAGAAAGGATCGAACTCTAGGTCGTCTCCTACACTTCAGTTCCCCTTTTTAAACAACTCACTGGCTGACACCTGATAGTCGATAGGTTTGACTCTTTCTATAGTGGACAATAATAGGGATGGCTTTCGAATCAAGCTTTTCCTGTTGATCCTTTCTTGATTTTAAGAGAATGAACATATATAAATGTTTTCTTTCGTTGTTTAACGATCGGTGCTTCCTTTGATAACAAGTGGATGAATTATAAGATCTGAGAATTTAATTAAATGGTAAAATTGATCCAAGATTTAAGAAAAATAATCTTGCGGTTTGGACAAGGAGCTATTCATTATGCTTTCTTTTTTTTTAACAAAATTGTTACCTCGATGGTTATCATTTTATGTTCTTTGAACTTATTTATGTGCATTCGGGAAACGTATTTTAGTGAATTAAAATACGACGATGCTGCGAAAACATTTAATCTACCAATGACCAGATCTTAGAAGATTAATTACCATTACTTAGAGTGGCGAGAATTAGCAATTCTTATTACATAGTAATGTAATTACTTCCTGAATAATATAATCAATTTTTCAATATTTGGATACATTCCGAGATCTACTGCAGTAAACTTTTATATTATACATTTGTATAATATTTTACTCGTTCGTTTGCTTCTCAATAATGTATCAATAACCCCCCCCCCCCAGAAAATTATACGCATATAGTTTTAAGATCAATGTTCGAAACATTCGCAGAAACCCATTTCTTGAATTCCTGTTTATAAATCGACATTTTACATCGATATTAATATCAACGATATTATACAAAAGTTGATGTTTTCCTTATATATTTATACCAATATCATCCCTATCGACTTTAGAAAAGAAAGAAGATATCGCATTTCATCGAGTATATTTTCTTTTCGTTTTTTCCTTTTTATTCTATATCAATCTCATCCTCTCCTATATTTCCCACTTACTTCGTTTCTCTGTTTTCACAATCAGTTGACTTCGTAAAAAGATCCACGTTTTCTTTACCACATTTTTCGCTTCGTTTTAACGATCGCTTAAAAAATGCCATATCAAACATACCGACGTAAAACTGACAAGAATTACTGAAAAATGAAACTCACCAAGCATCTTCAGCACTCTCCTCGACGATTTTCCAGGATGATGCCTACAGCTTCCACTCTCGCCGCTGCCTCTGCTTCTCTTCATCATATTCGACTTCCTCAGTTTCAGTCCAATCAACGCGTACAGCACCGTAATGAGAATCATCGGGACCACGAAGAAGAAGAACGTGGACAATTCGAACGAATAATTGACCAGAACTCTCTTCACGGTACACATCACCATCTTTGGATTGCTGTAATGGTGGACAACTCCGACTTGCAACGCCAGTGGCAATGCGAACAACAGACTCATTAACCAAATTACAAGAATCAGCTTCACCGCTCTCGTCAGCTTTGACATGGTTTGCGACAAGAACGGATGACAAATAGCCAAATATCTTTCGACGGTGAACGCTGTAATGGTCAGCACCGAAGCGTTCGTGGAGGTTTCCGCTGCCAGGCCACGAAGAACGCAGAAAACTTCACCGAATATGTACGGATACTTGAACCAGACCATATAGATCTCTGCTGGGAGACCAGAGACTAACAGCAACAGGTCTGACACCGCCAGGCTGAATAGATAATAGTTGGTGGCTGTGTGCATCGACTTGTTGCGTGCGATCACGATGCACGTGCTGATGTTTCCGATTGTACCGGTTATGAAGATCGACAGATAAATTATGGTCACTGGTATTACGATATATAAAGAGTCTCTGAGAGGCAGAACGGTGTTCGTGGTGTTGGTGAAAGCGGTGAAGTTTTGGAGATAGGTTTGGAGAGCGGAGGAAATGACTTTGGGAGCCAGGGTAGTTGTAGGATCCATGGTGAAGGCTGGTCATTCCACGCGAATCGTTGGTGTGTTTTTGATAGAAGTACGTGGGTTGGTACTGATTGGTTTTCTTTGGTTCAGAAACTTGATTCCATCGTTTTCAGTGGCAGATTTAGAGATTTGTTATTAATGGAAATAAAATCGAGTTTAATTTAGTTTGCTTGTGGTTCAGAGAACCGATTGCATCATTTTCGATATATCGTGGAATTCCTATTAAATCGTAATTTTAAAACTCTTTCGTTAGAAACGGTAGGGAAGATCGGTTTGGATTTGTTTGAAGAGCTGGTTGCGTCGTTTTCAGTTGATCGTGGAATAAATTGAGAGTTGTCAGAGAGTTTTTGTATCGCTAATAGAATTTGAAGTTTTGATGGAAGAATGGAAATGATTCGTTCGAACTAAGTTGGAGATTGGTTAGTTGTTTTTCTTGAACGGAGTGGTCTCTCGGGTAAACTTACTCGTGTGATTTACTTTGCTGGGTCCTCGGAGCACGTTGAACTTGATTTAAGGGAGATTAAGCTTCAAAATACGTAGTCGTGGCTCGTGGATAATTATTTGCAACTTCTCATTTTTATTTTTAAGCGTTCAATTTCGTTTAATCTGGAAGTCTAATTTACGATCTGTTTAAAGTATGGTCTATTTAGATATTTATTTTTAATACGAAGTTCCTTGAGTTCTTAAACGACACATCAAATTCCTCTCAAGCACTCAAACTTAATTCCAAACATTCGAGCTCCTAATTATCACTGATAGAATCATTGTCGATCACTCGATGTTGAAACTCCTCTTTCTGCTGAAAGCACTTCCACTGTCAATCTCATTTTTCTAACTTCCGGAACGTTTGTTACACGAAACTTCTTAGTCTTCCTTAACTTCCAAACTTCCACTTCTGCTTCAATAAGATAGTTTCACAAATATTTTCCGTTTTCTTCAATTTGTTGTCTTCCTCGACTTTGGCGATATTTTCCTGCTAAGCTAGAGCAGCTATTTCTTTAATTGTCGGTTCTCAAGCTTCTTTGGACTTGCTTTTACCGTTCTTCTTTTAGGAAATTTCAAAAGAATCCATAGGAAACAGTCGCGCGATGATCTCGGTCGTTCCAACGTCCTCGACTTTTTAAATTCTTTCCCTGCTGAACCAAAGCAGTTTTACCATCAGCTTCCCGTTTTCAAGTCTTTCAGCTCACTGATTTTCTAATTTCCATTAAGAAATTTTAGGGAAATCCATAATAATAAAATAAAATAAATCTTGTCCTCTAAAGCAAAGGGTCGGATTCCTTGCAGAAACTTTGTAAAAATTCGCAGAAGACAGGTGAATAATATTTATTTCAGGTATATCGATCTTCAGTCCCCAACTTCCTAAAATCTTCAACTTCTCAGCTTCCTTAAAGAAAGTAATGAAAATCCACAGAAAAAAAAGGAAAAGAAAAAACAGCATAATAATATTACTTTAGAATTGTAATCATTTCCTCGACTTCCTCGATTGCGAAACTTTTTCCCCTCTAAACCAAGGCTCTTGCACCCCCGACCTTCAATTTCCAACTTCTTTAAACTTTCTAATTCGCAGCCATCTTAAAAAGTTTTTGGGAGAATCCGCAGAAAGCAGTATAATAATTTCTTGGTCTTCCTCGTCCTCGTTACCGTTTTCTATGAAAACCAAATCACTCGGGCCGGTGATCTTCAGCTTCCAACCTCTTCGAACTTCCAACTATCCAACGTTTTCTTCTTTCGTAAGCGAAGCAGTCGCGCTCTTGACCTTCAACTTCCGACTTCTTCGAACCTTCAACACTGCAACTATGCGAAAGAAATTTTGAAGAAATCCACAGAATCAGTTGAATATTGGCGCGGCCGTGTTTCAAGCTCGAGTAAAACGTGGCACTTTGAATGTTTCGCGGAAAACGGCGAACTGACACGGACGCCGCGCGAATCACGACTGCGTTAGCCCTCGTCGCGGCGCGTGACACCGAGCACCGGCGCTTCTGCGCACCTCCGATCGGCGGAAGCGTCCTCGTGGCTTCCTTCGTTCCTCTTTCCGCGTCCTGATCGTTTCACGTTCTTCTCTTTTGTCCGATTATTCACCCCTTCCTCCAAAATACTCTGCCATTATTCTTCGTCTCCGACTGAAGCAGGAATTTCATGCTTCTTCACGTCCGTTTCTTTTCAACTTCTACTTTTCTTCTTTAACATTCGGCTGAATATATTTGTTGGATAAATTGATTTGTGTGCGGGATGGGGATTTAAGAGGGCATCCACGAGTTTGGAACGAACGAGCAAGTTTGAAAAAATATTTGGGAAAGGGACGAGGGAGAGAGAGAGAGAGAGAGTGAGTTGATCGCGTCGTTTTCTGTTTCTCTCATTCTGTTCGAGTGTGTTTCAAATGGCACCAACGAATAAATTAGAAAATGTTAGTCCCCTCGTGTGGTACAAGTTTACACGTGATACGTAATATGAGCTAATCGATAATGGTAATATAATTAAATCGAATAATATATTAAATGGTATTATTTTGTGATTGAATTAATCAGCAGCTCGATAAAGCACGATATCGTGTAGACTTATGCGTGTATTGTTTAATTTATATCAAGTAATATACAGGACACTCCCAATTTAAATGGTAAATTCTCGTGAGCGTGCAGAAGGCCGATAAAATAAGAGAAGAAAATCATTTTGAGAATCGCTCGTTTTTGCTTCATTTTGCAGAAAGTCGCTAAAAGAGAAGCAGGAAGGTTTTCGTTTCTACGCTTATTTATTTATGTTTATTTGTCCGTATTATCGTCTATTTAATAGATGAAGATACTGTTCAAAATGCTGGTCTCTTGCAGCAACACAAGCATTACATCTAACAATGATCGCTCTAATTGCAGTCAGACATTGTTCTGATGATATTTGATGTACTGCAGCTGCGTCTCGGTCTCATCTCCTTTAAATAAATGATAACACGAATAAGTGGGAAAAAATATAGTTCAATACTCCGGGAGTAACGAGATAAGCGAGAAATTCGGAGAAGCAAAACAAGGAAAAAGCTTTTTTTAAAGTTTAGCAAACATCGATCGATGTTTCGGCTCTTAAATCGAGCCAACTAATCCAGTGGATTAAACGTTGCTTGTGTAACGTTTCTATTTTCGGCGTGATCCATTCGAGGGTGCACCGATTCGCGAAATCATCGAATTGCTTGGTTTTCGGAGACTGTCACGTTAAGTACCCCAATGCTAAAGTTGTAGGCTTCCTTAAGTTTCATTAACTCCTGAATGATCTGTTCCATCGATACTGTTGAAAATGACAACGTGAGTTCGTGCTCGTCATCCATATGCAGATGCGTTAGTTATAAGAAATAGTGACTAGAAGATAATCCTATTTACGATCGATAGATTTAATCGATAGGCTTAAGATGCTTTTTTGTTTTTATCCCTAGTCTTTGTAAGCGTGTGCAATAAAGGTTTTTACCTCCGAGTATAGAAATAACAACAGATACTTCGTCCGATATTTTTCTGTTTATATACCAAAAATTGTAATTCTCACGATCGCAGCAAGTGTGACAGTCGTTTTCTTTATAATATGATGTAATATTGTTGTGCGATTTAAAAATAAATCCTCCGCTAAATTGCTCAGGGATTCTATAAATAATTCTAAAGTTCCACAAAATATTTATAATCTTCAGAAAATGAAATGAATCAAACGAATTTTTGACAATTCCCGTTTTTCAAATTCTTCAAGATCGAAATAAAATTCGAGACGAATGTGCTTGGCAGTGGCCTTCCGAGAAGCTCGAAAGATCTTTTAAAATTGAGATAAAATTCACGGCACGAAAGTTGCTTAGGAATCATCCTCCAAAAATTTAATAAATCTTTTAAAAGTTGAAATAAAATTCCAGGTAAAAAGAGGTCTTCCAAAGGAATCTGGATATCTACCTATGCATGATTTATCGATAACAATATTTATATTTCTAAGAATTAAGATTTAATTAAATTGTGAGATTTTAAATTGTCTAAATTATTAAATAACAAAGTTAATTAAATTGTTATATTGTAAAAATGAAAATTTGACGTACATTCCATAAATTCATATAGACAAATTTTAATTATCTTAAATCCTGATAAATTTTGCCGTACGCGCAAATTTTTATCTATTAAATTAAGTTGAAATGAAAAAATTCATTAAATCTTCGCACGCTTTATTTCTCATTCAAATGCTTATTAATTAAATTTAATTAAGCCAAAAATGAAATGTGAATTTCATAGAGGTTCTTTTTAGAAAAAATGGAAACACGATACAAAAAGAAACAAATGTCGAGATATATAAGGTTCGCTTTTATCTAAAGAATTTTGCTATGAATTACTGAACCTTTATGAGTACGAATGGAAATTTATTTTAATATTTGACAGCATACAAGTTTTTTCATTTCAGTGTAATCTGTCATCTATAATTTTAACGTTTATACAACAATTATTCAGAATTATTTATCGACTAACAATTTATCTATATTTTTTATTGCAATTTATCTTTATTTACAACTATCTTAAAATCTTGACTTTATCTTAATCCTGCTTTAGCCGCAAGTTTTTACTAATTGAACTAAGCGAAGATAAGAATAAAAGTAGTATCATAATTTTAATAATTATACGATTGCTAAACTTCTCGTAATATGTAGCGTACTACTGTTCTACCAATTACGCGAAAGTGAAGTAAAATGACACTAATGAATAAAGTAATAAACGAAATACGTCATGCGACATTGCTTATTATTTTTATTAATTAACGACACTTTCCAGAAGCGCGAGATAAAAAGATCGTAGCTACTTTTGCGCGATCCCGCGATTCTAATTACTTTGACTAGCAACGATAGTTAATAACGTTACTGAACATTTAGCTAATTCTGTTCCGACGCTATTTACACATGTCTAACAGTAATAAATGAGATTGTTACACTTCCGTCTGGATACTGTTCGGTCATCGCTATGCAACAAAGTCACCTATAAATATTAATAACTCTTCTAGGAAAATAGATCGTTATTTAAGTTGAGTTAATCGACAGTGTGCGTCAGCGGATTTACTTTGAACGCTGACTTAAATTATAAATTATAGTAAATACACTTAAACTATGTATTGACTATGTAACTAGGTTGCGGATACTTATTTTCCTGGCGGAAATTTAAAGGTACGAAAACATACAGAATGCACGTAAGATGAGGAAATATCAAAATATCTAACGCGAAATAAATATGGTTGTAACATATTATAAATGGGAGAATAAATCTCGGCTTAGATTTCATTTTCATAGTCGTGTTTGCAAACATATGAATTTGTACAGGCGCGTGTTAAGAAATACCTGCAGTCTGCTAATAATCGGATAGAGATTTAGATTTAAGAAATGTAAATTTATTACAGTTATAGGCTGAAAGTCGTAGGAAACTGCGATTTTTCTCATTTTTAACCGTCTGGATTCTACAGCAGCGTGCTGTTGCTTGCACTTAGATTTGCAATGAATAAATACCCTTCTTTCTATCTCTATTCTTTCTTCTGATCCTAATTCTAGGCTAAACGACAATGGTCAGGTAAGTACACAGTTCGGGAAAAGAGTCATCGCGTCGTTGGTACCGGTTAAACTTAATTTGTAAATTCGTGCATCGGTGCACGACGTTACAC